CAGCTGCGGGATTTGAACCAGCAACCTTCCAGCCACAGGCGCAGATCCCTAGCCACAGAGCCACCACTCCAATCAATATCTCGGCAATGTCTCTGTCTCTGTCACTATAGTCTCTATAATAACACTATAGTGATAATAAGACAGAAATAACAGGCTATTTTATAGCAGAGTTCTCAAAAACATAGCCAGTGAAAGAATATGGCAGGAACCTACTCACATCTGTTTCTGATGCTCACAGGACAATACAAAAGACACTGACTGCACAGTGAATTGTTGGGAACAGCGACTGTTCTAGGATCACTAGTGAAAAAACTTCCTAAAATCCCCCTGTGGAGGGACATACAGTATTCTGCAGAACGTTATTTAATCCATCTCATTAAAGGGATTGTGCACTCCCGAAAGTACTTTCTGAAGAACAGTTAATTCTAACATGCTTGTCATTTGTTTGATATAATGTCTTACAGCCTTTGGCTACAGTGTGAAAAGGCACAACATTCTTTAAACATGTCTGTATAGATTCACTTATAGAAGTCATTACAGCATAAACACAGTAGACATACACAGACATCAACTTTACAAAAAATGACAGTTCCCTGAAAAATAGCAAGCTAGGGTAATGAAGTGATTGAAATATGCAACACAGCATTAGATGTTAAGTCTTAAAGTATGGAGACAATGATTGAAAACGTGGAAACTTTCCCAATTAAAATAAGCTACTTTGAAATAAACCTCCATTTCCTGGTGATATTCTGGAAAGAGATTCCATGCTTTTGAAATGCCATGAGAGGCACGTTTCATGATGGTGCTCAGAGGGACTTTTCTTTTCCCAAGCAATTTTTATTTTGCATAAATTTTGGAAATGTCATGATGTTGTAAATTGAAATCTGCTTGCTGAGAATTCCACTGCGGGGGACGTTTCATCTATTTTCCAACAGCCCATTATCTCTTAAAGGACCTTAATCCTGGACCAGAGTGACAGTGCGGCAGCCTGACTGCAGCCCGAGCCCCTGCCTCCCCTGTCAGGCCAGGAACACAAATGTGAGAGAGAGAGAGAGAGAGAGAGAGAGAGAGCTTTCACTCCGACAAGTACAGTACTCTCTCCTCTTGACTCTTTTCTCACGCAGGGGTCTGTATCCCGTTGGGTTGAACTGCGTTGCTCGCTGTCCTTTGCTTCCTTAAGGCACTGTTTTCCAGGACGGAGAGAGACAAAAGCATAAAACAGACTAACAATGCTGCAAACACACTGTTTCACCACAGAAGCCCGGTCCCAGGGGTTATGCTGGAATAAGGTACTGTGTCAGAATTTGTTTGGCGTTTTCTTTTAATGCTTTTGTTCTCATGCATAAAGCTAGGTATCAAATGCCCAAGAGGAAAGAACAGACATTCAAGCTGAAGCTTATACTACAGTAGGTTCCCTTCTACTGTACCACAGCAAATCAATAATTCTTTTTACATTTTACGGCAACGTTGACACTGACTGACCCAGAACATTGACTAAACCAGAAAATGCATACTTGCCTATCTCTGTCGCCCTCTCTCTCTCTTTTGTAAAATGATTTCCATAAGATCAGGGAAATAAATGAAAATATCGCTACTGTTTTAATATTTGTCACCAGCACGTCTCGGTATCTACTACAGAAGCACGACTGCTACTGTAGGTTTATTTCTTGCTGTTAATCTGTTATATTACTTACTGCAATAAAGACATTAAAAAAATCGGGGAATCCAATGCCCATGGCTGATTTCTGTTTACAAATGAAAATCCTCATTTGCACGTCCCCAGAAGAGATCTGAACTGCTCCAATACATCATGTTTATTTACTATGCTGCCACTGTCATTGTTGTTTGAGATCCTCTTTTTTATTATTTTCAAGCTCTGGATGCAGCTCACACAGTCAGACACCTTCCAAGTTCAAATTTCCTGTCAGATCACTGTAGATTAAGAGGAAAGTGACTGTAGCCGGGAGACATGTACAGTACTTCACGGAAATAAAAACATCACACACAGCAAATTTGAGCCATTATCCAAATTAAAAGGAGAACAAACCCACCATTCAGCCCGAGTTAGGAAACAGCCTGGTAAGAGGCCAAGACAGCTCTGATAGAACCAAATATGTTCTTTCACAAAAATGACCATTTTCAAAGTACAGATGATTTCACATGAACAATGAAAGGTATGGGTTACTGTATATTTCTCAAACGCGAGGGGTTGATTTATTTGTGCAAGACCATTACTGTGGAAAGTGTGCTCTATACAAACGTGAAAAAGGCCAGTAAAAACAGGCTGTAGCAATATGAACTTCTCCGTGTTAACCCACTGCCAGAGTGACTGTTATGCCTTTGAGGAATGTTCTTGAAATAATAAGAGTTTTGAAGTCTCAAATCCAGGTTCCTCCACTTCATATTTCTGCAGAGGTGCTCAGCTGTACCCTAAGTTGTTAAGCTTGGTCATTGACTGCACTGCTCACCTTTAACAAAGAACTTTCAACCAATATGTTACTGCATCTTCCCTCTCCAAACCCTGTACATATCTGCTGTTAAGAATGTGTCTAGTTTGCTACGAGACTACGAGGCCTTAATGTTTGCTTTGAGCATACTGTAGTCACCGCACAAAGACCAAGAGATATTTCTTCCTCTCTTTTTATAAATTGCTTTCCTGCTGATTTGCCAGGTCACATTGGGACTGACGCAGCACAGAAACCATCAAACCCCTTCGCTTATTCCTTCTAAATAAGAGTCATCCTGCAAACTGATATCTTGTTTACCTTCTGCATTAATTATGGGAATTACTAGACCCTGGAAAATTACTGCTGTGCACTGTAGAAGTTTCAGATGTAGAAGAAACCCAATTAAAATCATAGCATCTAGGCTGCAGTAAGGGGAACACAAATCAGAAGCCACACATAATCTAAAGGCAATCCAAGTACAGCAAAGGAAAGAGCTTTGTTTGACTTAACTGGAGGCACAGCTTAAAGGATTTAACATGCAATTCGGATAGTCAGTCCACTGGTTTAGTCACAGTCACAGTGAGCGTGTATGTCCAGATTTGAATGACTTACTACGGAGGACATTGCTGATGCTGATGGTGTGACAGCAGACATTTGGGGAAAAACTTGAATTCTGATACGGGGAATATTTTTGCTGGGTTATGCCATTAAAAACAACACAATGGTGACAGCGCAGAGCTCAATATTCCAAACACAGCAGCAGGAACACTGACAGCTGAGCCACAATGAGCTCATTAAAACTTACAAAAGTCATAAATTCTTTATTAATTAGGTTCTCACCTCTGTCTGAGTGTGAAAACACAACTTAGTAAGTGATGAAGCCAAGTGCATACAGTATACAGGGTAACATTTCATATCTCAAATGTTGTTCCTGCCGAACAAATATCATTTCAATTCCCCTTCTTGCAATTTTCAAGGCTTCCTTTGGCAAGTAAAGCGTTCATGTCCAACTTCTTGTAATGTGATTAATGAAACCCACCAAAAACATAAACTTCAGTCTAACAACACTTGATCTTGTTTTAAAAACTGGCAGGGGGTGAGGAGTACACGAACTGCAGAGGGTATTGACACAGATGCAGAGAAGTGTTAGCTCAAACCCCGCCTGAAGTCAAAGCTGTGAGCTTGACTATACCGGGTGATGTTTTAACCCTACCCTGTCCTTTTGATCTGAGGAATCTACTGCTTATGCTTTCTGTGTTTATCGCTCTGAATTTGCATCAGCCAGTCTAAAAGACACAGACAGTATACAGGCTAAAGAGTGAGGAATCAGTTCAAGACAAGGAGGAACTCACTGTTTTTTTTTTCCTTCACTTTCTTTCACCGTTTTGGAAACTCGATTCACGTCCGATAGAAAAAAAATACTTGGCATCAGAGGAAAACCTTGGGAGGTCGGGCTGCTAGTCTTTAAAGGGAAAGCAACAGGGCAGTTTACAGCAGCTGTCATGTCATCTACCACCTTTTGCCGAGAACAACCACAGCAATTTTGAAAGTTTGATTGACACGGGCTGATTGACACCACGAATCATACAATAAATGTACAGCAAATCATAGTATCAGTCTCAGTCAAACAGACAGGCTGCAATTCTACATGCGAGCCCTCAGGGGTGCCTCTGACAGCCGGCAGGCTGGGTTTACTGTTCAGGAGGAGCGGTCAGAGGGAGCGATTGCTGTCTTGGTACCGAAGGGGTGATGGGGAACACAGAGAAACACTCTGTACGTCTGTCCAGAAGATGACATGTTAGCATCTGAGGGGAGCAGGCTTTGCTGATGTGTATAGGGTCAGGGGGCTGGATCTCCAGTGGGTCCCCTGGCATCGTGTGGTGCAATTATTTTCTTTCATTTAGATGTTTTGAAATCATATTAACTTCAGAATGGCTCTACTTTTGCCCCCCTTGGTGGGATGAGGAGGGGGTCAGTGTTGCCTAAATCTTCAAAACCCTTTATCTCAACACATTAAACTCAGTAGAAAGGAGTGGTGATACTAAAAGATTTCAAAAGTCGAGCAAACTATGCTGCATTTTCTACAGCCCTGCTGTCACAGATGGCGTGGAAAGTGCAGATTTTTCTGTTTAAAGCACATTTTATACTAAGCAATTAGCATCAAAGCTCTTTTTTATCTTCCTTATTTAAAGTAATGTATGCAGCAAAACTCTCAGACAGGGTATTCCAGAACACAAACTGAAAAAATACTGGACAAATGTTTCAGTTAGACGAAAAATATGAATGATGAAACTAAAGTCACATTTTCGTCAGTCAGGAAAATAAAATACTGTTTCAGTACAAGTATTCATCTCAGCTCCTAGACAGGAGTGGGTAATCTGTTCTGGTTACATTGCCAGAACAATAACTGTTCTGCCAGAACAATACTGGTTACAAGAAAGCAGGGCTAAAAGGAAAAGCATTGCAAAACTCAGCAAAATCATTGCTGCTTGTAAATAAACATGATTTATAGACGTAACCACTGAACGTATAATCATCTTGAAAACAGTTGGCATATCTTTTAGCTGTACTTTTTGGTACGGTAAAAGACATCTTGACACCCAAAGAAGGCTCCACAGCCAAAATATTGTGTTTCTTTTCTTTTCAGCATGGAATAAACCTTTTCTTGTTCCTTTACAACCTACGCATACTGACGCAGCTCCCTACTTGTAAAAGACATCTGTTCACCTGCCGTGTCAAACCTCAATGACTACCTGTACAGTATATGGACTATAGCTAGATACCAGGCAGCACACCTCTGCACTAACAGAACATGGAACGGATGGAAAATGATCCATTATGTAAACAGGTGACAGGGTTCTGTCAAAAATCAAGATATAGAATCCTGGAAATGATTTAATTAATCTTTTCAGCATTGTGACGGTTACAGTAATTCAGAAATTTATCACAGCGACAGCTTCACAACCAGTTAGTACCCGGAGACTTCCATCACTGAGGTGCTCCAGTCTTCACATCTCTGCGAAGTTGGTGGGGGGTGTACGGAGTGTGGAATAAACTGCTCTGATTAAATAACAAGTTATAACATAGTCTAAAGATAAAACAAGATGTAACCCGATGTGTGCAGATGAAAGGACGAAAGCCGACAAGGAGAAATTGGTCTTGTGGGACTGAGAGGGACGAGGCGGGTGTGATAAATTAGGAGGTGTCAGGAGGACAGCGTACAATGGAGGAGAGTAAAATCGCCATAAAAGCGCAATGACTACACTGCTCTTCGTGATCCGACAGCCACCCCTGTAACAGGTCCCCACACAGCCATCAAATCAGTTTTCCCCAGAAGCGTGGCAGGAATACCACCCAGAGTCTTCAAGGTGGGTGGTCTCTTGGTATTCCTGAGCCGTCCATGCCGAAATCGTCTGGCTGGTCCGAGCCATGAGCCAGGAAGAGTTTCCTTTCCATTCAGAAGCTAGCCCAGCTCACTGCCTGCCCAGCTTTCCTGAACACTCCAGAAGAGAAGGGGCATTCACTGGGAGAGATTCAAAAGGGAACCGCTGGACCGGATTCCTAAAAGCCTGAATCTGAGGGTTTGAGAAAGACGTGTGGGCCCAGTCCTGGAATAGAGCACAAACGACAACAAGGTTAGCACTGGAAAAAGCAGGCTCACTCAGAGCCTGCTTGATCTCAGCTGAGCTTTAAACAAACTCATTACTTGCAATCCCAAGCCCTTTCTGAGCCCCAACCTGTCAATTTGAATTGCAAGTCGTTTTACAGGGGAGCATGTTGGCAATGGCAGCCGGAGCCCAGGTAGCCATGTAGCTGTGCCTTACCAGCTACTGCTGCCTGCTGCAGCGAAAAAAAAAAAAAAGAATAATTTCATGTAATTGCAGCCTTTTTATTTTTGTTCTGCCTGAGCAGTTAGAAGCCCGCCAGAGCGCCGCACGGTCGGTGACCTTTTGTGTTGACATGCTCTCGTGCTTTTTAGCGTTCCCAGTTAATCTTGCAAGTCAAAAGCTGGTCTATCTAATGGCAGCAGCTCCTGTGTCTGTCTGGAGCGGATTGATTACAAGCTGATAATGTTCTACACCCGCGAGAACTCTTTTCTCTTGTCCTGCACGCTTGCCTTCAGTGGTGTGCTCTGGGAGGTCTTCAGGTTTTTTTGTTCGTAATTGCTGCAGAGCAATATTCCTACTGTCCATCAGTTATGATTGAAGCTTAGCATGTTGCTATTACCCTGATATACCTACAGCCTAGGGTAATAGCACTGTTAAAACAATAAAAGGTCACCGCAAAAGTCAAGAAAACCTCAATAATACATTATCGTGTAAACATATACAGTATAGCAAACCTGTGCATGTGAGGTAAATATTTATAATGCAGCATCCAAAAGTGAATTTCTGCAGTAACTGGCTAGGTCTTCGCTACATAACTGTAGGGACAAGAGTCTAGAAACAGGGCTCTGGGCTGTGCGTTTTAACATTGGTGATCAGTAGTGTTGTAAGTCCCACAACAAATAGCAAACGCACACAAACACATTCTGACTAGCCATAAGTTACAAGGGAAATGAAGAAGACATTTTTTGACATTTTCAGAGCGTGTATTTTTTCCAGTGTTTTTTTTACTCTTTATGAACAGCACACCCTGTTCTTTGTGCATATTTCATTGAAAAGCATTTCATGACAGATGCACACTACAAAATGGGGAAAAAACAAAATCTGTTCAATTAAAATGTTTAATGGCTTTCCTCTTCCCTGTGTATAATCACACTTCAGAATTAAAATAAAAGCAACTTAATGGCAGCGGCGCTAAAGGAAAAATAAAGTCATTTAGCTAATTGGGGGTGAGATGATGTCAACAAAAGCAACAAATTACCTCTTTTTATTAAGACTACGTCTGTGACACCAGAAGAAAGCAATTCAAAATTATAAATATGGTCAATGTAAGACTATGTACCATTATCTTTTAAAAAAAAGCTACAGACTGAAAGGCATACAGGAAGCCTGGGAGAGCGATGAGGATTGATCACTACTACAGACTTAATGAGCTCAAACTGCAAAAACAACAAGACAAAGAGAAACACTGATATGTAGATGAATGAGCGCTGAAAGACAGGTTAGATATAGATTCAGACTCATGTACAGACAGATGTCAGACACTGAAAGGATTAATCATGACAATTATGGCTGGAGTCTGGGCTGTTTTGTGCACAGAGACTCCTAGACTCCCTGCCAAGGTAACTGCTGTCCAAGGAGACATCTATCAGCGCAATGAAGAAACAGGGCTCTGCTGTTTGTTAAATACTACACAAATGACCTAGAGCTACTTACCAAATAGGAAGGACACAACCTCTTTACATTCCCACCCTGTGCTTTGAGATGACAACATGCTGACATTCAATAGCTTCAGTCTGTCCTGAGTACAGGTTGATACAAAGGATGTGAGACACAGTTCTGGCAGCCTGGCCATAAGGACAAGGCATCCTAGCTGCTGCAAGGCCAGTGACGAAAGGGAGGGGAGCATACTAAAGAAAGGATGTTGAGAAACGCATGCATGCTATCCCGAATGTTAACGTTAACGCTTGAATGAATAACGCTCCACTTCCAAGAGCAACTGAGTGTTCAATAAATTAGAAAATGGACTGTATCACTTAGAAAACAAGACTAATTTCAGGGAAAGGATCCCAGAACTCAAATATGCAAAAGGACATGTCAGAAGAAAGAAAGCAAAGTATTGCTCATCTTTCTGGACCACAGTCACTGTTTTTTCAGTGCTTAAGCAATATCCTTGTTCTTCTGTGGAGAGATTGGAGTGGAGAGTGATAATGAAATCAGTCCACTGCTATACGCAAACTCAACATGCACTTTCTCAAGGAGAGAGACGGACGTGATTCAGGGCAGCAGTGTGGAGCAGCGTTTGGGGTTCTGGACCCTTGAACAAAGTAATTTACCCAAAGAATACACAGCTGTATAAATCGGTGCTATTGTACAGTATGGTGATTGGATAAAAGTATCAGCCAAATACAGTAGTTATTCTAATAAATAATATTTTGTCCATTTGTACAGACAGTAAACAGGTACTGATGGTTTTTAACTTCGTATATGCTCTACTATACTATACAGCAAAGTCAGAATGACCTTCTCTTATCAGGGAAGAGTGCCTTTGCAGAAACCATGTGTAATTCTTTATCAATACCTTAACGATTCCAATAAGCAGCTTTAAAATAGCCTCCAACAGTAACATAGGGTGGACAGTGCGTAATCTTGTAGCCCAAGCCTGTGAACCAGGAAACCATAAACTGATGCTAGAAATTCCACTGCTCTCTTCTGGCCAAAGAAGAACCAAGAGACAATGTCAACACATTACTGTCATTTCCACCCCCAGGCTGCTCGCAGGCTGCAATGTGATGGGTGCACAGAAGGCTTCCACATTTATGAGTGGAATTTTAGATGCTTGCTTTGTTTAACTTACTGTGAAATTAACTTTGATGCATGCTATTTAAACGAGGGGTAAACCTTTTACAGCTTGTGGGCAATGTAAAACTAAATAAAAAAGCAAAAATAAGAAACTAAAAATAATGAAACCCATAAAGCCTTTTCCAAAATTGTTACAAGGAAAGAGGGGAATGATACTGCAGAGAAACAGGGGACCAAGAACCCCACTCATTTAAAGGGTCTAAAGGGTCCAAGAAATTATCTAGGACCCCTGCTCTGCCTCTCGAGGGATCAACAAGGGATCACAAGGGATTTCTGGGTATTTTCAACCATGTACAACTTTAAACCTGAGAACAGGGGTTAATTCATTTCAGACGAGGCTTACTTGGAGCAATTCCCCATTCGCACGTGTCTCAGACACCTTGACCACCTGCCCAAGGCCCCGAGACCGGGAATCCCAGACAAGACGGTTGATCTTATCTCTGCTCTCTGCCGCTTCAGAGACACTGGAGCACAGGGCACTGAGCCTTGGCGCTGGGCAGCAGTGCTGTGAGGTTAACCTGAAGGCACAGGAAGCGATTGGATTCTTCTGCATGCTCCCACTTCTGTGGCAAGTTTCAAAACGGTTAAATTTGTCAAGGAAACTGTCGGCAGCTGCTTTTAAAACTTCAAAGCAGCCATTTATCCTCAAAGAAATCGCACGATCCGACTATTTTTATCTGAAGAGTGAGATGATCAAAGGGGTGCTTTAACATATCTTCAGCACAGTTACACTGCATTTGAATGCGTCCTGCGTGACGTGGCATTATCTCACTGCACAAGACTGCTGTTTTCATTGGGATTAACGTAGCGGCTCTTTGGACGGATTTCACGGAGACATCTGATCATTACATCAATGCCAAGGAGAAGAAAAATAATAAAACATTATGCTATGAACATTAGAATTTGACACTGATAGTGCACAATTAATCTTAGTGGTACTGTATGTCTCAATAGTACACCACTCAGTTTACAAGAACATATGGGATTTCACTAAGTGGATTGTCAAAGAAATAATTTGATAACGACTACAATGGCACCTTATTCCTTTCCTCAGCGTTTTAGTGATTTATTCATTCTTTTACATGTTACACATTTTTTTGCAACATACCGCTGAAAGCCCCAGCTTTTTCTAAATGTATGCCATTCAACAGGCACTACATACGGTACGTTGCTGTAGTAATGGTGGGAAAGGAAAGTCATCAAGGGGCAAAATAAAAAAATTACTCTCGGGAAGTACAGTATGTTTGAAGTATGGCAAGACATTTATTCAAACGAAAAGAGTAAAGAAACTTCCAGAAAATGAAAAAGAAATGTATCACCAACAATTAAAAAGAAAATAATGTTGTCACACATTGAATTTCGTTAAACAGGCAAAAAGAACAACACCGATAAACTACTTACGTTGCAGAAAAGAAAACACAGAAACAAACTTTAGAGGAAGCCGAGTACATCCAAAAGCTGCTGACACTAACTGAACTAATAAATTAGACCTACACATTACAAGATTCACACAGGATCACCACAGCCAACAGCACTGAAATCAATACCTGAACTGAGGCAAAACAACCACGTGTGTCGTTAGGAGAGATAGTAACCTTGCAATTCAACTGAGACCATTTATTTTAATAACTCTCACTCGGTTATGTACGGCTGTTTGCACATCAGAAGGATGCCAAACAGTGAATTCACAAAAACACGGTACAGAGCATTTATTGCTATTGGATCAGACAAGCTGACAGAGCTTGCTTCACTGTCATTACTTACACTGTACAGTACAGTTGGGAATAATGTTGATGGTATGATGATCAGATTTTCTGTGTGGACCATAAATTGTTCCTTTAAATTATCCAACCTTCTCAGTTATTCTATTTAGAGGACAGCAATATAAATATTACATACAGTTAGTATCACATCACCCAAGTAATGACTGGACTGTTTTCTTACACATCCATGAGCTATGGTTTGTGTTCAGCACTTAAATAGGGATACACCGTCTTTCTCAGACAGAAATGACTAAAACCCCTATGTCTTATCCGTCAGGCGTTTGGGGAGAAGGAAAATGTATCTTCTGAAACATGACTGTTATGAAAATGACTTACAGGCCACAGAAAAGTAAGATCTTGTGAAGAGAAGGACATAGG